ACTACCCTCATCATAAAAAATTTCTTCCTTATATCCAGTCAAAACTTACCCTCTTTCAGTTTTAAAACTGTTGCCCCTTCCTCTGTCACTGATATAAAAAGTCTGTCTCTATTAAAAGCGCCCTCTATATATTGAAAGGCCACTATAAGATTTCCCCAAGAGCTTTCTTTTCTCCAGGCTGGACAACCCCATCTCTCTCAGCCTGTCCTCATAGATAGGAGAGGTGTTTCAGCCCTCTGATCAAATGGATTTGCATTTTGATCAAAAAGGAAGCATGATTAGTTAACCCATGTGAACTACAAGTTTTCCGCTTTCTGAGGTATCACTATGTTGCTTCTTTTCCATTTGTCAAATGGAGTTAACAGGCCAAATTAACCTACTGGAAGTAAAATATATGAAGACTTCTTATCTAAATTGAACCAGACTGTTTCCTGGTAATCTCTGCAACAATCCTTTAACTTCTATAGGAACTAGACAGGTCTTTATTATGCTTGGGGGTGGGGGAAATTGTCTTTCACAGCTCAGTTATTTCCAATCACTATCAGTTAGTAAAGTCTCACTTTCTGCCTTCATTTCTCAAGCCCTGTTGATTCTCACTGGCCACTTCCTTTTTCTGCCATTATCCAATTATAATTTACACTTTAAGTAAAGATACATCTATTTACTGTATTTTCAAAGTGTGAAAGAGTTGGGGTGCATTTTTTTTCAAAATAAAGTTACAGAGAACTTCATTAAAGCTTACATCTGATATTCGAATCATAAGTTTTTTAATTTCCAGCTGAAAGATCTCTTCTGTCTCCTCCAAGAGGAACACTGTGAAAAGTACTAGAGAAATTAGGGCAAGTTCTACTCACCACACTGAAATCAAGATTTTTGTCAATCCACTCTTGTCCTTCTCTGAATTCGTCGTGAAGTCCCATGATATAAAGAGTATCCAATGCATCTACTATGGTAGCACCCATTTGTGAGTTTCCTACATGCAGAAACACAGATTTCTATTACAAGTGATTATTTCATTACTTTTCTTAAAGATCACAAGCATGAGAAAATAACCCAAGCAGTAGCAAAGCAAAGTTACTACAAAGATGACAGGACAAAAAATAATCAAAATGAGCAAGGAATTAGCAGCCAATAAGAGGATCACCCTTCTCTTTTCAAAGCATCAGTCCTCTGTCACAGTTTGGCTTCTGTGGAGAAAAGAATAAAGATAGAAAATAAAACCCTCTTCATCTGCCTAACCTGAACATAAGCAACTGTACTTTGACAAAAAAAGGGAGAGAAAGACATTCAGCTTCAAAAAGCTTTTAGGAATTCTAGGATAGGAGTCTTTAAAAAGCATATACAAGATAAAGCAATCGCTACTTGCAGTGGTGCATGGTACTTTCCAACATTTACTACTGAAACATTCAAAGTTTTGCAAGTATGGAAGCTACCTAGTCACTCACTGAAAGCATGGACTGATGAGCAAGGGTGCCTTGACTTGGCTTGACTGATAAAGTCTGGGCCTAAGATGTCACTGCCTGCAGGGACCCCCACTATGAGCTGCTAATGGATTCCTCAATTGCAACTATTCAAAGTGGAAAATTTAAAGCCAAATAAAAATCAATGGTGCTCTACCCTAAAATGTCATTCACTTGAAACAGCAGCAATTTAGGTGACTGATGAGCGACTCAACAGTTTGTACAAGGGAGATGGGATGAAGAGGTGGTGAGCCACTGCCCACTTTAGCCTTGAGCTCCTTAGGCCATCCCAACCTAAGCTGTTACCCTTAGTAGGCAGAGGTCTTTGTTTCTAGAGGAAAGCAAAAATTACCACAGGTTTATTTATTTTCATGGAGTGTATGAAACTTCCTATGCACTAAGAAAGTAGCCGAATTTCATACCAGTATTCTATAAAACAGTACAATAACTACATGATTGGCAATTTAATGACAGTAGTCTCCTAATGAATTCAGCCACTTTTTTTTTTTTTATTAATGTGCTTTTTATCCATAATGGAATCTCTACAGCAGTGTTCCTGCTTAGTTGTTTCTATTAATTCATTTCTGATTTTTGCATGTTTATAGAGATATATTTTTTACCTATCAATCATAATAATAACTGAATTAAGCCATCACCCCTAGTGTTTTTCTTTCAGACATCTAATAACTGATACTTACATGCAAGCTTAACTCCCATTTTCAGGGATTTCTTTCCCTGAATAAGAAAGAATTAAACACAATCTCTATAAGAGTAATCACCAACTAATTTCTTCCAAAATAGCTGTGCATCTGTTTTAATTAATTTAAACTAGATATGGAAAGCCTGAAGTCAGTGGTGTTTGCTAAGAATATCCAAGCACTGATAGGGACAATAACTTTTGAAAGTTTAATTAAAAGACATATCCTTTGACAAACTGGCCACCAGGCATATCAGTGTCTCAGGAAATGAATTCACCTCAGTGCCCAAGTACTGTGAGGTTTAACACTGTCAGCCAAACGACTAATTCCATCGCTTGTGCTGAAGTGGAGGTTGCTTCGAGCAGAGCTACAGCATGCACTAAATTTTGCAGCTTTTCACAAGCATAATGTGACAGTTATCTAATTTATCACTTCAAAAATATGCAAATCAGACCATGACACAAGGACTAACTTCAGTATTAGCTGACAAGGTATTTTTGACATAATGTTGGAACGTGTTATACTGCTATGGCACTCAAAGTAATTTCTGTTCCTTTACTTAAACCGCATTGATAAAATCTTCAAATGCACAAGGTGTTTGAACAAATAGGGATACAGAGCCTTGGGAAATCTGAAAGCTGCTCTTGTTATCGTTTCAGAAAATAAAAACCTTCTAACTTAAACACAGTGATAACCACATCAGTAAGCTCTCATATTCTACAGTTATCATGAGGTTAGAAAACACTGCACCAGGATGGATTGGTGTGTCATTGTGTCATGTGCACCCCCGTCCACCCATCCCCATTCCCACCTC